CCTTTGGTTTTGACCCGCTCCCATACGACTTTTGTCAAGAAGTCTAAGCATTGACGCCTGGAGCCATCGCGAAAAATACCACCAGAGGGGAACCTTTCCTCCAGAGCAATCACTAGGAGGATCCACATATACCACTTGCTAGAATCCCTTCCCCTTCATGGTAAGCACCCCCAAATACTGAAAACTCTGCCACTATGCCAGATTTTTTGAATTCGATGCATTCATATGAGCGGTGGGGTGGGGTGTTTAGTGCGGGCGGAAGTAAAGCAGCCTTATGTATATCGCTTCTACAGCACCTACAGAATCCCAGTTTTAAGGGGAGGAGCGTGGCAAGCGTGAGTCAGGAGCGAAGCAATTGGGGGGCCGGGACATTTGCAATTTTCGGCTGTCAGGCTAAAAAAGCAGAACATAAAGTATGGCCACCACAGCTTTTTTAATAGCATGAAAAAGAGAAAATCAGAATCTGAAACATGGCCCCATGGCGTTTTAGGAGCCCTCAGACTAGAAAATCAAAACCCAAATTATGACCCCCGCAGCTGCTTAGTAACCCGTAGGAGAGAAAAGCACAGCACAGAGCATGGCCCCCCGTAGCCTTCTGGGAACCCTACAGCAAGGAAATTAAAGCATAAAGTATGGTCCCCGTAGCTGTTTAGCAGCCCTCAGGCAAATTATGGTCCCCGCAGCTGCCTAGTAACCCTAGACAAAGAAAACCAACATGTAAAGTATGGTCCCTAATAGCTTTTCACAACGGATGTCCGCTACACAAATGCTGGAGTCCCTGCAACATAAGCACATTTCCCTCCCCTACAGACGCAATTGCCACTGGCCACGTTTCCGAGCTTCACCCCCTAGTCCACTAACAAGCCCAAGAGAACCCACAAAGCTCTATACACTTCACCGCATGCAGCAAATGCTTACTCCTGTGATCAACTCGATCTTTGCGAGCCGGGCGTGGCCGTCCAATCCCTACAGCAACCACTATTCACAACAGTGCCAAAAAATAGCGTAAATGCATCACAAGTTCCCGGGAAAGGCCCCGTCACGCAGACCAAGTGCAGAACCGTTCCGACAGCTCCCTTCCGGATCTCTGTGCTAGCTGTTGAGGGAAGCAGTGTCCACAACAGCTTAAATTGCCCAGCAACACGACGCATCACATTCTGGCACTCATCCCAAGAGCTGACTTGGACCTGGCATGCATCAACTCTTTACAAGTTGCCCCTCAGCAGTGCCACATACATTCCCCCATCCAAGTGCCCTAAGCCTAAAGCCCTAACACGCGGGGTGGAAGGGTGGGGTTGCACTGGGGCCGCTCTTGGGCAGCCCCATCACAGTGCGGGGGGGACACACAGCCCTCCTAAACCTAAGCCGTAATCCCTGGGTCCTCGACCCCGCTGGCTTTCACACGTCCTGGGCACACGCACATCAAACTTGGGAAGAACACGAGTTCTTGGAAAGGAAAAACGTACCGTTGGAGGTAGCGAGGCCTTTTTTTCGGTGGTCCTGCCAGCAGGCGCAGAATCCCTCACAACTGTCGCCCGGGGGGGGGGGCAGGAAGGGATGCAGCGGGGCTGCCCAAGAGGGCAGCGCTGCTTGTTTCTGTGGGGGGAGGAGAAATCGCTAAACGTGAGACTTTATTAGCAGAATACTTTGTATGAAAGATAAACCTCTTCAAATATCGCTTGTTTTTGGGCGTTGGCCTGCCAAGAAGTACAATGTAATAGCAAGCATCAACAGCAATAGCAACAGCAGCGACGCCAGCAGCAACAACAACAACAACAACAACAGCAACAGCAAAAACAGCAGCAACAACAGCAGCAACAACAACAACAACAACAGCAACAACAACATTTCATTCACGCGCAGCGGAAAGGTTCTGATCCTCGTCGGGTGAGAATCTTGCTTTGCGAGTAGTACGTCTGCTTGTGACTGAGGTTTTACTGAGCTTGCATGTAGTTTGCTTCTGTAAACCGCAGGGCTTGTGCGTTAATTTTCCAAATCAGCAAACTCAATCAGCGGGGTGGTGGCATGTTCAAAACTGTCAACGTAGAGCGGCGTGTGAATGGGTTCCTCATCCAAAATTCTGTCGACGCAGGCTCTTAAGTTCGCGGTTTCACACTCCACAGTCATGTTGCAAACAGGTCAACTACACTCACTCATGTTGGAGCGTGTCCGCTGCATCCGCTCATGTCGGAACATGTCCGCTGCGCCCACTCAGGTCTCTGCTCAGCACGGATTCCGAATCCCAAGCTCGCAAGTAATTCTAGAGTAACTACAAGGCACTAGTGTCACTAGTGAGGAAGCAACAGCGACATGTACAGAGTAATAAGAGATGTCACTTATCACTTGGCGGGTACGTCCCAGAGGCGTCCTTCCGAGATATCATATCCACCACAGCAGCGTCTTTGTTCGGCAGTGACTGCTGTGGGGACCACTGCCCCCCTGCTCGAAACGGCTTCCAGATACAAACTGAAAGCGTCCCCTGCACGTGCGCCGAGCCAGTCAGCTCAACATGTCAAGACCGTGAGGTTGCAGAAGTCAAGTCCGCAGACAACCCTTAGGTTTTGGTCAGGGCTTTACTACAACGACAACAACAGCAACAACAACAGCAGCAGCAGCACCACCACCACCACCAACAACAACAGCAGCAACAACATCAACAACAACAACAACAGCAACAACAACAACAGCAACAACAACAACAACAACAACAGCAACAACAACAGCCAGCAGCAGCAGCAGCAGCAGCAGCAGCAGCAGCGGCACCCACAGCAATAACACCGGGCAGCAGCTGCAGCAGCAGCAGCGCGGCAGCAACAGCAATTAACAAGTAGTAGCAATAGTAACAGTTACGGTACAGCAGCAAATCATAATACAGAAGCAGCACCAACAACAACGACAGCAGCAGCAGCAATAGCAACAGCAGCAGCAGCAGCCAGGATCAGCCAACAAAAGCCAGCAACAGCCAACAACAGCCAACAACGGCCAACAACGGCCAACACCAACACCAGCAACAGCAGCAGCGCCGCCACCAACAACGCCAACACCAGCACCAACAGACCCGAATCACGTCGTGTATAGCACATGGGGTTCCATAAGCGGCAAAAACGCACACTGCAAAGCAAGGACTTAAATACTTTCTATGCTGGTTCCCGTAGGCCCAGGCGAGCCTATGCCCAGCGACGGAGCCATGGCACAAGATCCTTCAAAAGCCGTCCCGCCCAACCGTGTCGCACAAGATAACAGCAACAAAAACCAGAGCATTCTTAGATATGAAGGCGCAAGCTGTGAGTGATAAACTCTTTCCCTGAGCCCGATATCCTAAGCCCCCAATTCCAAAGCCCAATCACGAACACCACTAAACTTGATTCCCGCGACGCTTGCTGCAGAACATCGTTCACATGGCTCAGGCTCTAAGAAATCTACACGACTTCCAGAAGCTGGGCACTGCGTCATTCCCAGTGTTTGGATCACATAATCAGCAGAAGCACCAACGACAGCTATGATAATGACAGGAACTGCAGCAACAAGCGCTGCTACCTACTCCAACAACAACATCAGCAGCAGCAACAACAAAAACAACCACAGCAGCCACAACCACCAGCACCACCACCTCCACCACCACCACCACCACCAACAACAACAACAACAACAGCAGCAAGTTATAGTACAGCAAGCAACAAATGATAACACTAATTGTTAAAGCAATATGCATTATGAAGATAACGGTACACATAGTGCTAATGATAATAGTCGAAATAGTAATGAGAATAAAACAAGAACAAGAACAGCATGAACAATCACAGTAACAAGAACAATAACAAGAATAAAAGGAACAACAACACAACAACAAGATGACACAGCCGGGCCTCGTAGTTCTTGTGCTCGGTCTCGACTTCCTACCCACCTCCCCGCGCACTTCCCCATTCACCCCGACTGGCCTTGCTGACGAGGTTCCTGTGCCATCTCATGTCGAATAAGCGCGCTTACAAATTGAAGAGCAATCTTCCGCACTCAGCCAGCATCCGAATTGGGAGCCGAGGCACGTCACTGTATCGCCCCGACTGGCCGAAAGCTTGCAGATCGACGTCAGTGCCAGACGGCTTGGGTGCTGCCCCCAACCCATTTAACAGTCTGTAATCAAGGTCATATTAACCGCTCTATATAAGTATAACGATATCTATTCTCCAACTGTTGCTGTTAGTGGGTGTTCGGCAATTCGGGCTAAAGTACATGTGAGGATGAACATTCTGTTAAGACAAAACAAATTCTAGACCTGCCTCTTAACTAAGCCAGGTACAGCCCTAGCTCCTACCCCCCAAACTCCAAACCCTAAACCCCAGTGCAGTCCCATAATAAGGCTTGTAGTATTTTGAAGTCTATAACGTCGTCCCCCGATTTATCGAAACTACTCTTGAGGGCGTGGGGCTAGGTATACGTACCCTCCTTCATGACCCCCATATTCATCCGCTATATAACTCCTTCACGGTGTTCAGACTATGACTCACATTACCTGGTCATTTCTCGGGCTTTGCCTTGCCTAGGGCTCCGTAGCCTTCGATTTCTTATTGGGGCGTAGTAGAAAGACTTTCAACAGTCATGGATAAAAATGGCACAGGCATAATTATTCGTGCGGTGCAGTGACCACTCAAGATCAGACCCTAAACCCTAAACCGCAAACCCTAAATGCCAAAACTTGTGGGCCAGGCGTCAAGGCGGTCTCTGAGGATTTGAATGATGGGTTAAGTTACTGGTAGTTACTGGGGAATAAGGGGCCAAAACCCAGGGTGCTAAGACCTGAACCTTACCCTGAACTCAAAAAGGTTTGGGGCTTCTTGTAGATTTTGATCTGGACGGGTCACAGCCGCAGTTGCGGCTCCATGAATCTTGATTGCGTGGCATCTCCTACACCGGCAGTATTGGGATATGGTAACGGATTAAGAGGGGTCATGAATGGGTTATGCACAGAGCAAGTCATGGACAGCCTTGATAGCAACCGATCAAGGCTGGCAATGATTCTGGAAGCAGGCTAGCCATACAAATCAAACAACAAGTGTAAGAAACCCGCACGACTTACCAGTCGAAGCACGTGGAAGCTTCAGGATATTCGCTGCAGAGCCTAAACCTCTAAACCCGAAATCCTACACCCTAAACCCTACACCGCCTGTTTTTTTAACACCCGGAATCTTAAATAGGTCTACCAGGGCGATAATACAATCTCGGATGCCCGTGGTCCGAGGCCGCCTCATTCAAACATCCGGAAAGGAAACGGAACTTTAGCTTCGGGCTACAGTAGTGTCTAGTGTATGCTGTTGGAGACCACAATATGGTATGCAGGCTATAAGACTGGAGGGTTGAGTTGCAACTCTTTTTATGCAATGAACTTTACAAACACATGTCTGAGCGGCTGGAATGGATATACGGCTGGAAGACGGAAGGCTGTAAGGCTGCAAGTAAGCTGGAAGGTTGCACGGCTGTAATGGGTGGAAGGGCTGGAAAGGCTGGGGCCTTCCAGCCTTAACCCTCCAGCCTAGGAGAATTTGTTTTCATAATTGAGATTGTGGCTCGATTACGATGGGCCATTCTCCAACAAGAAGAGGGCTGTTCCAGAACATATTTATTCTTTGTTCTTCAGAACTTTCCAATAAATAGCTAGCGTACACATGAATTTATAGGGTTCCGGGGCCAGATAGAGAATACTTGAAAGTATTTCGCGAAACGTTACTGCCTCACTCGACACCATGCTTCTGCTTTCAAGGTGCAACCGCTCGCAACTCTTTTATGCTCTTTTGCATGAACTTCAGAAAACACATGTCTGAGTAGCTGGAATGGATATATGGCTGGAAGACGGAAGGCTGTAAGGACCCGGATTCAAATAGACTGTCTTTAATACTACCTCCATGGGCACCAGCCTTTGGCCGCCATGCATATTTAAAAGTAGGCACCGTGTATCCTTAACCCCAAACCCTGAAGCCTAGACCCCAAACCCCAAATCTGGCACCCTCCTCCTTAAACCTAAAAGTCGTCAACCAGTCGGATTGGAGACCTATTCGTCTCAGGGTCTGGGTTGTGAAGACAAGGAAAACAGAGGCCGGTAATTGTGCCGCATCATTTTAGGGTTTGCCCTAAACCCTAAACCCTTAAACCCTTAACCCCATCTTCAGTCTCATTTAGCAGAACTCCCAAATCCAAAAGGCTTTCACAGCTTCGAAAGATCATGCTCTCAACAGCCCGGATACCGTACGGCCCATACCGACGGAGTCTTGAGGAGCTGCGTGAACTCTAAACCCTAATCCCTAAACCCATAAACTCCAAAACTCTAAACCCCAAACCCGAAATCCTAAACCCCAAACCCGAAACCAAGGTTTAGCTGGTGACACTGCCACGCAAAATCTGGAACACCCTGCCCCACCCTCTGAACCTAAACTTTAGCTGCCCTGACTGCGATCGCCCCGAAGGAACTCAAGACCAGGACATCATTGTTAATACCATTGTTGTCATTGTTGTTCCTGTTGCTACTCTCGCTGCTGGTGCTGGTGCTGGTGCTGTTGCTGGTGCTGCTGGTGCTGGTGCTGGTGCTGTTGCTGTTGCTGCTGTTGCTGTTGCTGCTGTTGCTGTTGCTGTAGCTGCTGCTGTTGCTGCTGCTGCTGCTGCTGCTGCTGTTGCTGTTGCTGCTGTTGTTGCTGCTGTTGCTGTTGCTGCTGCTGTTGCTGCTGCTGCTGCTGCCGTTGCTGTTGCTGTTGCTGCTGCTGCTGCTGCTGCTGGTGCTGGTGCTGTTGCTATTGCTGCTGTTGTTGTTGTTGTTGCTGCTGCTGCTGCTGCTGCTGCTGCTGTTGCTGTTGCTGTTGCTGTTGCTGTTGCTGTTGTAGTAGTTGTTGCTGTTGCTGTTGCTGTTGCTGTTGTTGTTATTGTGCTGTTGTTGTTGTTGTTGCTGCTGCTGTTGTTGTTATTGTTGTTGTTGTTGTCGTTGTTGTTGCTGTTGTTATTGTGGAACTTAGGACCCCACCCCTGGCAAAAGCAGTCTAAATACAAGACAAACACCGAAAGGATTTTCATAAACTCTAATTCTAACCATACTTCCTCAAGTAGGCGGATTTTATTGAAAACCCAGAGGAGTTTAAAAAAGCTACGAATTCAGAGGTACCTCAATGAAAAGCCTGGTACTCAAAAAACCTGAGCGATATTTTGGAATCCGGGGGTCGGAGTGGGGCGTATAAGTTGGCTAGTGATAATATGAATGCTATTATTATTGTTATTGTTATTTGGGAGACTTTGCTGCGAGACTCAACTCACGCACGGGGCATGTCAGAACAATTCATTGAGGCGGTGCTCTTACAAGTACTAATTAAAAGTCACGAACATGAGGAGTGCTGTTAGCGCTAACCTTGCCAGTGTACTATTGTCTGATGGGCTCGATTGTCATGCGCACATTCGCTCTTCACCTTAATCCCTAAATACTAGTTTCCATTTTCTTATCCATTATCCCAATGTATCGTTTAGTATACTAGTAGTTTCCATTTTCTTTTCCACTGTCACGATATATCCCCTATATATGTATACAGCCTATTATACTAGAATAGTTTCCTTTTTCTTTTCCAGTATCCCAATACATCCCCTATTGTACTATAGTAGTTTCCCATTTGCTGTTCCATTGTCCCAAAACATCCCCTCCATACCCTATTATACTATAGTAGGCTCCATTTTCTTTGCCACTATCTCAATATGTCCCCCATATAACCCTTATCTTGTCATCGATAACATTGTTGAGTTCATGCGCATGAACGTTCCCGGAGATAGCTCGTCTCAAAGCAGCGGTCCACCGATAGAATCCCTCTATAACCACTACGCACATATCCCTCGATGACCCCCGTTAAACTCCGCAAAGAGGGCTATCTGGCGGGTTCCATAGGAGACTACTACAGGGGCTATTAAGGGGGATATTAGGAGTTTAGACTATAGCCCGTAACATCTATCCCTATATCTTGACTAACATGGACCCAGCTTTTGTGCTCCTCCATCGGAGGTCAGTTTGTCGCCGATCTTGGATCGCCAGAGAGTGCAGACACAAAGCCTTGAGCTGCAGACAAGTTTATGGTTTGGGGTTCAGGGTAGGTTTAGGGTTTGCAATATCTTAGAAACTCAGACTACATGATTTACTTCCTTGTGGTTGGCAGGGAATAAGGGAATACAATCCCTATTATTCCCCTAAGGCCTGCACCTGGCTTCATTTTGCAAACCGGGACATTGCGGCTGAGGATTGAGGGTTTTACAATGGATTGTTGGGGAAGTTCAGGGTACCTATACAGAACAAAAATATCCCACAACTACCTGATGGGCTGATCGAACCACAAATTGAATTAACTAGCAAGCTTTGCTACAACATACCAGTCAGCTCCTTTGTCCTCTGGGACCTGCAGTGAGACCCCATTGATGAAAAGAGGGGCCATTGTAAAGTGATGTAACCCCAAACCCCTAACCCCTACACCCTCAGATACAAGCTCGGCTCAGGTTTCCGCATGTCGCGATTGATTGTTCAGGATGGGTAAACGGGTTCAAATGGGAACCCCAAACAGGGAATCCCAAGAATAGAGTAGGAATTTAATAGAATATAAGGACCTTGGTAGGTATATTCCTATTATATTCCAACTCTATTCTTGCGGTTCCCTGTTTTGGGTTTTCAGTAAAGTCCCTTTAGACGGGTACTTCCAACAAGTTACAAAGCTGAAAAAAGTATTTGGGGATTTCCCAAAAATTAGGGGTGCCCCTTGAAGGGGTTTATCAGGGTTATATAGTGTCATATAAGGGTTATATAGGATTTAGGGATTAGGGTTTAGGGTTTCCCTAAATTAGAAACTCCCTCTTTAGGGGTCACTATAGAAAAGGAGTATAGTATTTTGGGGTCTATATTGGGGTCTCCCTATGTGGGAAGACCCTTAGATTTTGGATGGGCAGCAGATTTCTTTTTAGCCAAGAAGGTTGCGCTCCGATGTTGCTTCTTAGGACCCCCCATTTTGGACCTCAAATACTATAAACCTTATTATGGGGACCCCCAAAAAGGGTATCCCGAGTTTTGGGAAGCCCCCGTATGTTCTTCAAACCAACTTGCAGGACAGCGACTCTACTCTGCAGGGCTTTGGTCCCATGTCCGAATCTCCGAAGCGAAACATGCAAACTGTCCGTCTGAACATGAGGAGCCCCAGGAAAGCCCTAAACCTTAAACCCTAAACCCTAAACCCTAAGCCCTAAAAGGGTTCAGGGTTTGGGGCTTAGGGTTTTAAGCCGCCCCGGGCCTGAAACCCTACTCCGAATCCAAAGTGCCCTAAGACTCAAAGTGTCAGTTCCCAGGCTCTGCAACAGTGGCACCAAGGGAGAACGGGAGGCTCGATCTGTGGTGACCTGTTTCTCTCTAAGAACAGGGTAGCCTCCAGTACAGGGTTTAGGGCTTAGGTCTCTTTTAAAAGTTGCTGAGTGATAAGAGCCGGCCCCGTGTTAGTGTTGCAACTTCCTCATAGGAATCCATGGACACCTTTTTCAGCGTGGGCGAAGTTGTAAGAAGAGAGGGGCTCCATGCAGCCATGCAGAAACATCACTTCTATTGACTACGAAGAATGAGTATACTATTATCGCCACTATTACTATTATTGCTGATACTAGGATCATTACAACTACTACTAATACGACCATTATTGCTAATACTACCATCACATTACAATTAGTACTATTACTACCACTATTACTAGTATTTCTATTACTACCATTATTTCTACTGCTACTACTAGCAGTAATATTACTACTATGAGTATCAATGCCATTGGGCTTCTTGCAAATCCCTGCCCAAGATGGTGCAACAAGGGCTTGGTACCGCATCAAGCTGTCGTAGCTCAGGGTCTGGGGGTCGGGTTTGTGTTTTGTGCCGTTGGAGAAACCTTACTGCAATCCACTACCAAATGGTTGCTTTGCCCAATCAGCTTAGCCAGATGGGGCCTAGGAGGCACACAGAAGATGTTTGGAGAAACGCTTGTTTTTTGTCCAGACTACTCGTGGGTTTGGCCAGGTTGCATGTTGTGTCGTTGTATCCTATAATAAGCCAGCAGATTTGTGCAACCTCAACCCGCAAAATGAGGACTATCATATGACTATCCACAACCCGAACCTATAACCCAAAACCCCGAAACTTCAACTCCTTCCCCTGGTCACCATAGACTCCAAAGCCCTCATGCCTAAGATATCCAAAGGAACGTTGCCTGGTCCGCTGAACCAAGGATGTCTGCCAGTACGGCCAAATTCAAGACTGGCGGAGAGGCCTGCTGGAACTAAGCTTTCTTCTTGTATATCCCTATATGTCCCCATATATCCCTACATAACCCTATATAACCTGGGGCATTCAAGTGTATGTACATGTACAGTACGGTCATTCAGGCATCATGCAGTTGTATGAATATTTCTCATAACTGAAGGTTGAACGCCTCAGCTTTTAGGAAGCTCATGTTTAAAGAGTTTGCGACCAAGGGATCTGGAATTATATGCAGTATCTGGTATCTTACTGGTTGTTAGTGGGAAATCAAGGAATATAATCCAAATGAAACCCCTGTAGAATAGATTCCCTACCGCATTTCAGGGGCTTAGTCACAAGGAGAGCAAGGAAAGTCCCAGGATTTGGGAACCATCTGAGCCATGGTCTAAACTCCTAGTATCCCCCTTAATAAACCCCATATAGTATATGGTTAAATGTTTAAGGTTTAGGGTCCAAACTCCTACTATCTCCCTTAACTTAATCACCCCTATAGTAGTCCTAAACCCTAAACCACTAAACACTAAACCCCCAATACATTCCCCTTGAAGGAGTTTAGACTATGGCTCATCTGGGCCTTGGATCTGGGGGGTTCTCACTTGTTCTTAGTTGGGAAGGAGGCTTTAGGGTTTAGGGTCAGAAGGGAGTAGATTATATGAGCTATAGTCTAAACTCTTCAAAGGGGGGTTATATAAGGGATTATATAGGGGACTACTTTAGGGGTTATTAAGGGGGATTCTAGGAGTTTAGACAGTAGCTCATAGAGTGGTGATAGAAGGACTATATTCTCGAACTCCCTACTAAAGAACGAATAAGATTTTGCATTTCGAGATTTAGGATTGGGGCCTCGAGGTCCCTTGGTCTTCTTTGTGAAGAGACCTTGAATTGGGTTGAAAGGTGTGAGTTTGTCGGTAATTGCCAAAATTAGGATCCCATGTTGGTACCCCCAAATAGTAGGTGCCGTAATATAATCTATAACCAAAAGAGGCCCAGAATTTTGAGAACAACCCATGTATGGGTCTTACAGGTGCTATACGGAGCCGCAGACGCCGAGGGGTTAGGCTTACGGGCTTACGGCTCGTCCTGGGCGCAAAACTGCGGTCCTTGGGCTACGCTTTCCTGGGGCTTAACAAATGAGGGTTTCCTGAAACCGGGGGGTACCTTTATGGAGGTCTTTACAAAAAAGGATTATGATAGATTAGGGTCTATATTGGCATTCCCCTATTCTGGGAAACTACCAAATTTCATCCTGCATGCAGTTTGCCTCTGGCTTGGCTCGCCCTTGGCATAAGCCCCTAAATCCTGAATCCGGAACCCTAAATCCTGAACTAGACTCAGGAGCTCTAGGAGGTTGGGCAGCCGGCTCGTCAGACCAAGGCTTACTGATGAGTAAGGACTGGAAGGTCGGGTTCCTTTGTGGGGATCAGTCTCTACTAGCAGCCGGTGAGTAGGGGTCAGGTTTACGGTTGCAAAATATTTGAAGCCCCATGCGCTATCAGTGAATTGTGAAAACTATATAGCGCGTGCAGAAGCACCTTCCGCTTCACGGCGGTTGTGGACGGTTGACATGCTCAAAACCCAAGCAAGCTGCAATCGCCTTCTGCTTCGCGACGGTCGTGGGCGGTGATGTGAAGAGCGAACGGAGTGCAGGCAATACCTCGATCAAAAGACATTGAGGTCTTTCAGTGGGTTTGGGTTTGATGGTTTCTGCGGCTTTGAAAGAGAGAGCGTGACAAACATTGATGTCAACTTGTCTGGGTATCCGCCATTACAGTATGAAGGCATCGCCAACATGCAGTGCAGGGGCCCGAATAAGTGGAAAATAACTTTGGAAATGATGAACTGCATTGAAAACGCTTTCAATGGATGGAGTTAGAACTCTTAGATACTAAGAAGCGGAGCTTTCGGGATATCTGTTCCACAACACATGTGTAGGATGCCATGGGTTGGACCCACAACTCAAGCATTTGACCCTAAAGGGTTTGTGTTCCAACGTTCAGTCGCTCAGTTGCATAAGACAATATCTTGCAAGGATGTGGCTGATCCCTGACAAATTGACATATTTTGTGCCACTATTCCAGAGGTATATCAGGGAGTATATAAGGCCTGCTATAGGGGTAGTGTATGGACAAGGAAATTCCAATAACACTCTGAGGGGGGTCTGCGTTGAGAGGCTTGAGACCATGGTTCTGAAGCTGGATGAATTCGAGGACCTAAAGGGCTGAAGCCCAATACCAGAGAGTTTAGGGCTTTAGGGGCTAGGGGTTTAGGGTTTTGGGGTTTATGATATACGGACCTCAGCGCCCAAAGCCTTCAAGGGCATTGCGCAAATCATTCGACACCCACCACCCTCACATCCACCTCTTGGAAAAAGGGGCCCTCATATTCTGGAACAAGCGCTGGCACCACGGCATATTATATACTACTATGTACAGAATGTTTGTACCAGATTCTGGAACAAGCATTTGCACCATTGTAGTTAACGTAGAACGTTGTGAGCTATAGTCTGAACTCCTAGTATCCCCCTTCATAACCCCTATAGTAGCCCCCGTCCCTTAAATAATCTCCTCTAATGAGTTTAGACTATGGCTCATGTACAGAAGGTTTAATCTTGATTGCGGGCGGGATGCTTGAGCCCATGGAAAAGATGCTCTGCAAGCCTCTCAATGACTCAATCCTCCATGTCCCCTTCAGAGGGATTGAGCCCTAAGCCCTAAACCCTGAGCC